CACACACACACACACACACACACACACACACACACACACACACACACACACACACACGTGCGCGCAAAATGACAAAAACCTAATTTTTGAGCGCAAAACAAGCGCAACACATATATTTCCAGAGCTAATAGGCAAAAACTGACGAGCATGGGTACTAAATACAAAAATGCTGCAACCCTTTATTTATGTTTATTACCAGAGGGAGGGATTTATATTAAAAGGTGTATTTTAGTTTATTTTCACAAATTATCACATTTTATCACAGCTCTGTGTTCCTGCATGCCCCCCCCCCCCGCCCTCCTCTTTCAGCCACTCCTTGGTCTGTCATCACAGCAGGGTGGAGCCCACAGAGCTGCACATGTTTCAAGCATGCTGCAGCTCACTGACTGTTTCCTTCCCCTGCCCACAGTGCACGCATGGCTAAAGCCAAAAGAGAACCAAGGAGGGATCAGTGGCTACTTTTCACCAATCAAAAGCATTTCCACACCCTCTCCGTCATTCCACTCCTCCCAGATTCACTCCCCCTCCCTGAGTGTCAGTGGGCACGCCAACCACAGGGGGAAAAAAAAGTTCAGGGAAAACAAAGTGATAAGCACCAAACAGCTTCTGGGTTTTGCTTTCAAGTGGACTCCTGCTGAAATGATGCAAAAGCGTGTGTGTTAGTGTGTGTGTATGTGCGGTATTTTTTTCCCCTGTCATTGTAGGAACACAGAGCGTCAGCCCTGAGCAGAAGATTATAAAACAGGAGAGCCACAGGAGGAGAAGCTCAGGGAGAGAGATGCACAGCGAGACTCCACTTCTCAGGAGGAGCTCCACCTGACATTTAGACCTTCAGACGTTGGACTGGAGACAGCAGAGCGTTAGACCGACCCAGGCTTCCCTGCATGAGTCTCCAACTTCATCTCCAATTTATGCTTATCAGTCTCTGACAGCTTTGGCTGAGGACCCTGCACCTGCTCCCCGACTGTTTTCTGCCCTTCAACATGTCAGACGATGACTGCCGCTCGCCCATCGGCCTAGATGTCTGCACCTGCTGCCTGCACCTGGCCAGTGGAAGCGATGACTCCCTGTCCAGCAGCCCCTCGCAGGGCCACGGTCCCACGGGAGGCCTGCCAGGAAGCCCCACCAGCCCCAGCGTGAATCACTTCCGACAGCTCCGCAACCAGCTGATGTACCAGAACCTGAACACGGACAAGCTGAACAACATCATGAGGCAGGACTCCCTGGAGTCAGTGGTCAGGGACCCCTGCTTCCTGCTCAACGAGGGCATCTGCAACAGCAATATTGACCAGACCATGCTGTCCATTC